TTTATGAAAGTACGGGAAGCGGAGAGTGCGTTGGTGGCATCGATTTATGATTTTGAGGTCCCGACCATTTATTTTGGGTAGCCCGAAGTTGAGAAAAAAGTGGCAGCGGCGATGATTTTATTGTCATTTTCATGTCTAGATTTCGGGTAACCGTCGGCCCTCGTTAGGCGTGCTGAAAATTAGCGGGAGTGCTTTCTTGAAAGCACGAGAACAGTAGAATCCATTCGTAAAATTTATTTCACGTTTCGAAGTTTCGAGCATTTATTTTGAGAAGTTCGAAGTCGAGTGCGCATAATAGAAGAATAAAAAGTCGTTTTGCGGGGTTCCGTAAGGTTGCATGTGACTTCGGTTTAACGAGAATCAAGTTGGAGCGTGTAGACGATTCAAGCACGATTCCATACGGACAAATTTCGCATTTTTTGGAGTTTCGAGCATTTATTATGAGAGTTTGAATCTCTGCGTTAAATAGTATCAAAAGGAGCAAATTTGTCGAAGACGAGTTCGATCATTCGAGGCTTCGTTTTCTCAATTTTTTTAGTTTTTCGTCTATTCGAAAGGAGGTATAATTTCTTGATTATTATAATTGAGTCCGAGATTTTTATTAGTATAAATTCGAGTATTTTTCGAGTTAAAACAATTCAGTTTAAGTATACCTGTTTAATTCCGGACTTAGTTTGATTTTTAGAAAAATATCTAGAGTATTCTTTTATATCCTGCAAAAATTTCTTAGAGCATCCACAAAAGTCCTTTGAGCGCCCTTCTGATGCCGGAGTGGGGGTGGTGCGCCGCGGGATGCCGGAGTGGGGGTGGTGCGCCGCGAAAAATTGGGCCCTTCCGGGGATGACCGGCTGGTTTCGCCACTGCACATTGGTGATGTGAATATGTTAAAAAAAAATATATCACCAATAGATTCTTTTTTTTACAAACATATTAACATGTGTCACCGTGGGTATGTGAGCATTACTCTGTTAAATCATAACTTTTAACTAATATTGTCAACTAATGTTATAAACTATAATTGTACACGTAGCATTGTCCTATCAAATTATATATGTCTAATAAGAATATTATTTACAACTCTATTAATTTGAATTTTTTTTTTTTTTATAAATTCAATTGAATCAATTTGAATAGGTATGAGATGAGATGCATGCTTGATCATTGATATATTTTAAATATCATAAAAATATTAAAATAAATTATATTTATTTATCTTGTTTAGTGTCTTCTAGTTAACAATATTCGATCGTTGATAATATAAATTAATATTTATGAACGTATAACAGTTTATGACTTTATGAATTATAACTAATAAATTTGATTACTTTCAAATTTGATATTTATTTTATATAATATATATATATATATTTTTTTTATTCCAACATCATAATGACATTCTTTGTCCATATTCATTATATGTATGTACTTAATATCATAATGGTCTGTTTACTACTGTAACATAATAATTATTATTTTATGGTAAAATATGTAAATAATTTTTTATTTTAAATTCTCTTTGTTAGGACATCATGTTGAGTATTTATATATTTTTACTTGGTTTGCTAAATAAATTATTATTTATAAAATAAATTAAATTAATTTTAATTTTTTATATGTAATATGCATATCAAATTGAATATTATCAAAAGACAATTGATTTCATAAATCATAAATGTAAAAACCAATACATATTAAAAACTTGTTAACTCTTAAAATATTATAAAATATTAAATGTAATAAATGAGAAAATACAATATTCGTTTGTGTATGTAATATACTAATATTTTATTTGGGAAAAAATATAAACACGACAAAAATAAATGCATACATGCGAAATTGCAATAAATTATTTATGACTCGCTTCAAAATAATAATATATATACAAATCAAATTACAAATCTTGAATTTCACCATTTTAACGTCCGAAACGTGTGAATCTGCTACTTAGACTCAACACATTTAGAATCCATATAAAGGAAATTAAATATTTAGTCATTTTATTTTTAATAACTAATACTCCAGTTCTAGCTATTGTTTCGATATTCATGAGTAAGAGTTTGAGCAACTTGTTTTTCCAACAAGTTGGGTTGAAGTCGCGAGTTATAATTTAAATAATTGATTGAGCTTATTTATTGAACGGGTAGAACTGAGGTCGTCGAATGTTTGTTTATAATCATTCTTGACTCGTGAGTATAATTGGGTTCGACTTGCGAAAATTCGATACTTAAAGAAGTCGAATTTGATACTTAAAGAAGTCGAATTCGAACAATTGATCGAGCTCATTTATTAAACGAGTTGGACCAAAGTTGTTTACGAATAGTTTGTTTATAATCTATTGTGAGTAATGAGTATAATTTGTTTTGACTTGTAAAAGCTCGATAAACTAACAAGTGAAATTCGAACAAAAGATTGTACTCATTTATTAAACGAGTTGAGCTGAATTCATTCGTGAATAGTTTGTTTATCTTATGGATTTTGAACCAGTAGTCTTGCCGAGTACGTTCACGAACCACCCGTATTTGTGAACAACTCATTTACAATTTTGAGCATTGTTTTGTGACCCGGACCGGCCCGGCGGGTCGACCTGGGACCCGGTCAACTCAGAACTGAAACCGGTCTATGTGGGCTATTTGGACCGGGTAACAATGGACCGGTCAAACCGGTAAAAACCCGGCCAAACCGGCCTTGACCTGATCGACTCGGGTCATTGACCCGGTCTTTACAAATTTTTTATTATTCTTTTATTTTTTTCTTATATGAAAGATAAATACTATGTTTATATAATGACATAGTATGATTGCGAGATTCAATATTATTAACACTTAAATGTACAAAATTTGTATACAAAATATTTATTTTTGTTAATTTTATGTATATTTATATGTCAAAAATACTATATATATAATTTTAAAAATTTTAAAATTAATTATCCAGTTCAGCAATTGATCCGGTGACCCGGCGACCCGGCGGCTGAACCGGTGACCTGGAGACTTGCTCGGGTCGATTTCCGGGCCGGGTTTAAAAACTATGATTTTGAGCTTATTGAACGGGTCGATTCGAACTTTCATTTTAAACTAGTTGAGCTTTTAGGCCATCTCCAACCGAAAAACCCAAACTCAAACTCATTTTGCAGTAACTATCCCATTTTGAAGTAATTCATCTCCAACCGAAAAACTCATTCTCAAACCCAAAAGAATATTCCTAGAATATTCTCTTTTACACCAACTTTTATAACTTTTCAATACTACCCACATATTTTACATCTTTACAAATTAAACCACACTATTATTTTAAATTCAATTTAGACTTTATGTAATTAAAATTAATTATACATAATAAAATCGGATAAATAAATATTCATTAAAAATTAAAATTTCACCACACAAATAAAATTAAAAATTACAATTCACAAGATAAAAAATAAAAAATTACAACACACAAGATGAAAAATTAAAAATTACAACACACATGAAAATTAGAAATTACAACACGCAAAATGAAAATTTAAATATTACAACACACAAGATAAAATAGGAAATTACAACAATCACGTAAAAATAGATAGTCTTTCAAGTCTGGAAGTTGGTGAATTCTTCCCATAAATGATCAATTAGTGCATTCCGAAGTGCAATTTGATCATCTTTATTTCTAATTTTTTTGTACCGAGATATAAATTCTTGAAATCGAGTACTTTCATCTACTGCTATTTCGACCTCCGGCAGCGGTGTTTCCATTTCAGTTTCTATTGGTGCACTTAGGTCACGTTCATCATCGACAATCATGTTATACAATATATGATTTAGTGCAAATTTACACTCTAGACCATATATGGTGTAGCGGTAAATCCGATCGCAATATTCTGTGGAATTGCGATCGTAACATACTACATATGAAATCTATCATAGATCTAATGTTATTTTATTATTGTTACACTAAAATAAAAATATTAACTAATTATATTAACCTAACTTAACTTTCATATTCATAACGCTACTATTTTTTTCAGCTTTTTCATGTAAACTAAAATGCAAAACATAAATTTCAAAATATATTAACATAATTAATTTTCATATTCGTAACACAAAATGCACATTCAATTGAGAAAAATATATTTCTTATTTTTTTAGTGTTTTCACTAAATGTACAAAAATGCAAAGTGATGGACAAAAAATATGTAAATTGGGGGTATGATTTTTTTATTTTTATTTATTTATTTATTTTTTTCTAAATCTTGGTCAATATGTCATGGAAGTTGCAAAATTGGACTTGAGTGCAAATAAAAAAGTTCATACGCATTTTTTTGCAGTGAACGCATATATGCGTTTGAGGGATGAGAGAGAAAGCTGCAAACTCATTTTGGGTTTCATTTTGCAGTTCGGTTAGAGAAATTTTACCCTATTTTTTGCGTTTTGAGTATCGGTTGGAGTAGGTCTTAACTCATTTATTAAATGTCTGAATTAAATATAAGCACAGTATTTAGCTTCTAAGGAGGGAAGTTTAGCACAGTATTTAGCTCGGCTCGAAATGCAAAGCCCAGCCCACCACTGAATTCGGGTATTTTTTTCTTGGATCAGGTTCAAATCACCGTACGGATTTTTGACCCGAAACCCGCAAAAAGGAAAAAAAAAAAAAACGAAGAGAAAGTAAAACAGCTGCATGTAAACCCCAGCTGCGACTGTTTCAGCCGAAGCTCCGACCTCCACCGCCCGGCAGCCGCCTCCCCGTGCATCGCAACCGCCTCCCCGTGCATCGCAACCGCCTCAGACACGGCGTACCTTTTCTTTCAGTTACAGGATTAGTCCTTAACTTCTCCGACGGGGTATTGATTACTACCGACGAACGCTGATCTAGGAATGCCAGGGGCGACGATGGACTCCGAGCTGCCCGTTGAGCCACAATCTCTTAAGAAGCTGAGCTTCAAATCCTTAAAGAGAGCTCTCGATCTCTTCTCTCCTACCCACGGACAATTGCCGCCAGCTGACCCGGAAAGGTTTCTGAAGCCCTAAGCTCAAGCATACTAAAATACTCCTATGATTATATCAGTATCGTTTTTGAATTATTATTTTCCATTTCCGGTAGATGATTCTGTTATCACATCATGCCCTAGTAAGCCCCTTTTTGATTGATTGCTTCGTTTTTGTTTGGTTTGCAGCAAGAAGATCCGAGTGAGTCATAAGGCGAGTTCTAAATATTGCATTATATTTTTTGTACGAGCTTACTCAAGGAAATCTGTTGTAGAGAAGCGTGTAGAAATTTTATTTGTGTGTTTACGCGCAATGCTACGTCTGGGCTTCCATTTGATTGCGTGTGATTAATTTGTATGTGAGCATCATAATTTTGAAAAAACGGTGTACTGATACGGTGTAATGCATTCCTTGGGTTACTGAAACGCGTGCATATGCTCTCTTAGCAAAAATTGGTTACATATTATTTTCGATTTACCTTTGTTATTTCTGCGTTAATTGAGTAGCTCCATTCTGAGTATGGGAGTGCAAGAAATGCAGCAACCGAAAGTTCTACTCGTATAGCAGCTGCTAAAAGTCAAGCGCAGCAGACTTCCACTCCATCAAATGTCCTAGCACTTCCAGGTATTTCTAGATGTCGAACCTTAAAGTGTGTTGGTGTTTAAAATTTTCATTTCCTGAACTCTGAACTGGTGAATACATGTCATATGTGGACATAGTAAGCATATGAAGTTCTTTCCTCCTTCCGTTGATGATGGATAAATGATTTTTTTCCTTGTGCAGGCCCTGAACAGTCAAATAATGTACAGAAGGGAAGGTTGCAGAAGGATTTGGTGATAAATTCGACAGGGCAGCCTAAGGGGCCGTATGTATTCCCTTTTACTAATATTTCTCTCTGCATGCTATATCCATTCTCACTGTTGTCAACTCATAATTAATCCCCTTCCTGGGAGGTAATCATACAGATGAGAATAAAAGATCAAAACATTATTAGTGAATATTTGGGTTTTATGGCTTTAAAGATCTGCCTTGTAAATCATAAAATACATTAGGAATAGGTTTCTTTCTTTCAAGATGTGAAAACACACTACTTTTGTGCATTATTTGGTACAGCACCGACGATGGGGTTCAAGTCAGGAGCACATCAATTGTTCCAGCTCATGGTTCGGCTGGAAGGTATTCTATTCAACGCTTGTTTGTTTCTTTCTGGACCTCCTAGGTATGCCGATCAAGTGAACAATCATATGTAGTGCAGGCTAATCTTAAGGAGTAGTAAAAAATCTCAGCATCTCTTTTGTGCTTTTGGTACAAAAGAAAGCTAGCTACATAAAGTTTTATTTAATTGTTCTAAGAAAAAATGTTCCAACTTTCACTCTTAGCATATTGAACACGATACTACCTCTTCATTTTTGTTAATTTTATTTTCTTTGTTTCCATATTTCTATCATTCCCAATATCAATGACTAGGTGTAGCCTAGATAGTCAGACAGTGAATTCCATTGACAGCTTTTGGTTATAGCACTGATGTGACAACCGTCATTTTTGAGAAATTTTGTTTGTTTATGATGCTCAGAAATCTATCTACTTCTGCTATCATGGAAAGAATTCCAAGTAGATGGCCTCGTCCTGTATGGCGTGCACCTTGGAAGAACTATAGAGTGAGAAACTTTCCTAACCGCTATCGAAAAAGTTTTTGATTTAATGAATTTGTATGTGTGTGCATTTTCTTGGTCTGAACAATTTGGACTGTTACTTTTGTAACAGTAGTTATGTGGACTGCATTCAATTGGCCCTTGCATCACTATGTCTTTATGCTTCATGTGGTTCTGCTCATTATATTTTGGGTTTTTGAGTACCGATTTGAGAGAATGCAATATGGTTGTATCCATTGCAAATTTACACCGATCTGCTTCCCAGCTAAATCATAGTATGGATTAACTCATTGACCAGTATTGTGGATTGTGAGAAAAATATCTACCTATTACATGATTATCTTTTAAATGTTCTTATGTGCTACTGATTTTGATTTTTTCCATTTCATCAAACTCTTGTTTTACCTTTGTTGCCTTAATTTTGAACCTGTAATGTAACCACTTACTTGTGTAGGTCATTAGTGGCCATTTGGGGTGGGTGCGATCCGTTGCTGTTGACCCAAGTAATAATTGGTTTTGCACAGGATCTGCTGATCGAACAATCAAGGTTTGAAATTAAATTCTGTTTTATTGAAAGCGTTCACATAAAACGTAGCCATGGAAAATTGCACTAAAGACATGATGTCATGATCTACCTTTTAAATTTATGGGCTGAGGTCATGTAATCTGTGAATGCTGTTTTAGCGGACAGCGTTCTTTGTCAATGCTCGATTATCATAAGATAATGAACTGGTCCTGGTTCTGGAAGTCACTGGAATCGAGTCGTATGTTTCATTAATAATGTGTAAATTATGCTTGGTTTCCCTTTTGCATCTTTAGTCTAACTCCAGCATTCTTCCGGCGGTCAGATATGGGACTTAGCAAGTGGCCGCCTGAAACTGACGCTTACCGGTCACATTGACCAAGTACGAGGTAATTCTTTCTTTCTTCCTTTTTTGATTGGGATAACAGACATTTATGAATCATTCGATGAAACATTTACTTATTATTGGCAGGTCTTGCTATTAGCAGCAAGCACACATACATGTTTTCTGCTGGTGATGACAAATTAGTTAAATGTTGGGACCTAGAGCAGAACAAGGTTGGTGATTTAATTTAGCTGCACCATCTGAAATAAGTGAGTTATAATATTTTTGTTCTTCCCATTTTCAGGTTATTCGTTCTTACCATGGTCATCTAAGTGGTGTTTATTGCTTGGCTCTTCATCCCACTATTGACATTTTGTTTACTGGTGGGCGAGATTCCGTATGTCGGGTATGTATAATTGTTTTGATATTCCTTTTCCATATGTATGTTATTTTGCGTTTACCCTGCGTTTTGGGTAAACGTATAAAGAACAAGCTAGAATATATACTAAATTACTTTATCTGTGGATGATAAGGTGTGGGATATTCGCAGCAAAATGCAAATTCATGCACTTTCTGGACATGAAAATACGGTCTGTTCAGTCTTCACAAGGCCTACGGTGAGTGCTTATTATGGTTCGGACGCACCACATCTAGATACTGAATATGTTTGCTTATGTCGCCTTGTCTTTCTCTGGTCTTTTTCTTGTGAAGGTTGTCCCTATTATATATAACGCATTGGCTAATTTGTCTATTGATGATCTAGTCCGTTCACAAAAAATAAGAAAGTCGGTGAATAGCTTAAATCTTGTTTCGAGTAAAATGTCTACACTAAACCATTTGCACTTCTGCAGAGAGCCTTACCTTTGCAACTGGCTGTTTTCTTTGCCATCTTAGATACTTTATGGTGCCACCTTTTGTTATGAGCATCATCTTTGTTTTTTGACAGATGGATTAAATATATCCACTGCTTATGTAGATTTGCCAAAATTATCAGCTGTTTTCAAAGTTTATTTTCGTCTGATCTCATAACATGATCCGAATTTGCAGGATCCGCAAGTCGTAACCGGTTCTCATGATTCAACTATAAAGTTATGGGACCTTAGATATGGTAATGTTTTATGGGGAATAATATCTTGGTTCTTTTATTTGGTCTTTCTAAGATAAATATAAATGATTTACTTTTTTTTTTCTTTTTTAAATATAATAAAATGTGGAGATGCTTGTGTTTGGCAGGCAAAACAATGGCAACTCTCACACATCATAAGAAATCTGTACGAGCCATGGCTCTTCATCCTAAGGAGTAAGATATTTTCTTCTCTTGAAATTTCATCAATTTACACTACATCTATCATCTCTATTTCTTATTTTCATTGCTTACCTAAACTTCCTGTGTCGTGCCCATTTTTTGCAGGGACTGTTTTGTATCAGCATCTGCCGAGAATATTAAAAAGTTTAAACTTCCAAAAGGGGAGTTCATGCACAATATGCTGTGAGTCATTACGAACAGACATTCATCTTCTCCATTAATGACTGCGATTATTTCCAGTTTTTGCCAAGTTTATCATTATGTGCTATTTTGTTTGTGTTACATAATGTGTGAAACCAAATCGTCTTTACTCGGTTCCTCTCATCTTCACCTTCTTAAGTACACCAAAAAAAGGAAAGGAGTTGATGTCGATTTTTCCATTTTGCAGCACTCAACAGAAAACTATTATTAATTCTGCGGCAGTCAACGAGGAGGGTGTACTTGCCACAGCAGGTTGGTCTTCTCATCAAACTATATTCTTTTCTTTCTTCTTATTCTATTGCAACTCAGATTCACTAGACGTGATTCTATTATGTCTCGTGTCATATCGTTTAATTTAATTTGTGTTAGGCGACAATGGAAGTTTGTGGTTTTGGGACTGGACGAGCGGTCACAATTTCCAGCAAGCCCAGACAATCGTCCAGCCTGGTACAAATTAAAATCTCTTTTATGACCTTGATTTGCTATAATCTTTTTTAAGCAACAACAGCAGTTAAACACAATCTTTTTTTTTTAATTATTATTATTATTATTATTATTATTATTATTATTATTTTTTGTACGTTTTGCCAGGGTCATTGGATAGTGAAGCTGGTATATATGCAATCACATATGATGTAACTGGTTCGAGGCTAATCACTTGCGAAGCAGACAAAACGATCAAAATGTGGAAAGAAGACGAAACGGCCACCCCAGAGACTCATCCCCTTCATTTTAAGCCACCCAAAGATATGCGGCGTTTCTAGTTGTAGTGTGTTGAGTTTCACATTCGTTATTCGCCCCAAAGAGTTAAAAGTAAATTGACGCAAAATGTAATAACATTCGTACATGGATATATGGATTTTGTGCAACGAATAGCTCGCGTTATATTTGTTTGTAATGTTAGTAGTTTGAAAATTGTAGATTGTGGTTCGGTTAGAATTTTCTTTTACCGGTCATTAGTTGGCCTGTGGAATATGTTTTGGTGTTATTTCGAATTGTGTAATTACGTCTACAGAAATTTTTCGAAATAAAAATCTTTTTACTGAACGAACTTGCAAGTTGCAACTGGAATTAGGGAAAGTTTGCTGACTTGTGAAAACATATAATTGTCTAGAAGTTTGAGAACTATGTGAACAATTAATGAGAGGCAAATAACTGACAGAAAAAAAGGAAAACACTCAGCTATATATATATACATAACCAAGTAAAATCTAACAAGCAAATAAATAACAATAGGCAACTAAGAAAAAAAATAAAATCAACATTTTAGGGCCCAACCGGGTTCGAACCGGTGACCTATTGATCTGCAGTCAATTGCTCTACCACTGAGCTATGGACCCGTTGATGTCTAACTCAATTACATATAGTTCTACGTGATATCAGCTTTGTGAAAACGTGCAAAATTCTTCTACTTCCAAGCACCACCAAATTTTCAGAACAAGAAAAGCCCTGATCATTATTACACATTTTTA